GAAGGCTGAGGTTGCAGTGAGCTGAGATCGCGCCATTGCATTCCAGCCTGGGTGACAGAGTGGGACTCCATCTCAAAAAAATAAAAAATAAAAAAGTTCCCGTTATGCAGGATGAGTAAGTTCTAGAGATCTGCTGTACAACTTGAGCATAGGATAAACAATATAATATTGTATATTAAAATTTTTTCTATGGGGGTAGATCTTATGCTAAGATCTTTTTGTTACCACAAAAGGAAAACAAAACAAAACACACAAAACAAAGAGATTTGAAGGAAACTTTTCAAAGTGAAGGATAAATTTCTGGCATAAGTTTAAGGTGATGGTTTCACAGGTGTATACTTACCTACAAATACCCCTAGTTTATACGTTAAATATGTATGGCTTTTTGTATGTCAGTCATACCTCAATAAAGCTGCTTTTTGGAAAAAAGAAATTTGTTTTGTTTGTTTGTTTTTCAGACAGAGTCTCACTCTGCTGCCCAGGTGGGAGTTCAGTGGCGGCTTCTCAGCTCCCTGTAACCTCCACCACCCAGATTTGAATTCAAACAATTATTGTGCCTCAGCCTCCCAAGCAGCTGGGATTACAGGCACATGCCACCATGCCTAGGTAATTTTTTTGTATTTTTAGTAGAGATGGGGGTTTCACCATGTTGTTGAGCCTGGTATCAAACTCCCGAGCTCAGGTACTCTGCTCTCCTTGGCTTGTCCTCCCAAAGTGCTAGGATTACAGGCATAAGCCACCACATCTGGCCTTAAAAAGAAATTCTAATGGTCAACATTAGTTTAAAGGATCACATGTGGTCACTCACACTGTTACAACTCAGAGTACAAACTTCACCAACCCTTAATGCAGAAGTCTGTGCGGCCTTGGATTCTTCCAGACTGGCGCAGCTGCTGCTGCTGTGGTCCTCAGAGCTGCTCTGGAAGGGTTTCAAGAATGGGAAAAATAAGGCTAGGCTGACAGATCTGGACCAGGATCCCTCAGCTTCCCACCCCAGCCTTGTTATTATTCCCTGCAGGGTTCCTCACTGCCTATCCTTTTTGTCCAAAACCACATCATTGGCACCTCGTGTCAATCACAGAACTCAGCCTTTGATTGCTTTGAGACTAATATCTTTTCTGAATATCCTTTGACCCCAACTAGGTGACTGGTTTCTTGAGGAGCGGAATCATTTGTGTTCCCTACAGGATCTGTCCTAGTGATGGATGTAATAGGATCAGTTCCATGAATGAAAGAAGATTCACAGTCAAGACTCACTGGGACCCAGTATTTAAAATCTTCTAAGATGCTAAGTCACAAACCTGCCATTAGGTGGCAGACAAACCCCACAATAAACAAAAGAAAGCTCCCAGCTCTTAGAAATACTAGCAAAGTAATAGAGTAATAGTGTCCTATTATCACCAGGGGGCCCTAAGCCTGGAATGCATTCTTTGGTGTGACCTTGGATGCCTGGGAGGAGCTGCCGGTGCCTTGAATTGTGTGGAAAACCCGCTTTGTACTGTGAGACTTGAAGCCTGGCACGGTCACTCCCTCCAAGTTGTGTCCCCAGAACCCACCCGACCATCACTGAGCAGAATCAGCTTCAAGAGGCTCTTGGTGGACATGGGGACCCAGCTTTGCTCCTTTTCTTCCTGCTGCTCGGACTCTCTGGTGAGGAGAGAGGACTCAGGCTTCATCTTCAGTGTGTTGACATTAAACAGGAATGTTTCCTTGAGGAATGAAAGTTGGGCCACCGGGGGAGGAACTGCCCACGTGGAGCTCTGGGTACAAAGTGTCCCCCCACCGGGGACCAGACCCATTGCTTGTCCCTTTGACACCTTCTGCTCTGCGTTCTCCAGACCCCTTTCAGGTCACTCGCCACCCTCAGCAATGGGCTGGTCACTGCCTGGCCTAGCAGGGACATAGAGCAGGGTCCTGAGCCTCACGACCCTTGGGCTCTGTGGTGGGGAAGGGGCCATGGGGTGGTGCACCACTGCTGGCTTTAAATGTTTGTGCTCAATGTACCCAAATTTGAGTTAATGACTTATATTAGTCATTAAAGTTATATCTATTTATATAAATATGTTTATTCATAATATAGATACATAACATATATAGATATGTTAATTTACATCTAAAATGTATATTTGATATGTAAAATTTATATAACACATACATATGCATATATATAATTTATTCCTTTATTTAGAAAATCACCTCATTTAATTCTCACACAGATTCTATGATACAAATATTAGCAGTATTCTTATTTAGCAGGAGAGGAAATGATTTGAAAAATACCTAAACGTGCCCAAAGCCATGCAGTTAGCAAGTGCTGAAGCAGAAATTTGAACCCAGGATAAAAATTTAAAATCAAATGTTCTACCAGCAATTAAAGTTATATATGATATTCATTTACAATATAGATATGTAGTATTTGTAAACACATAAATATAATGTGTATCTAAACTTACATATTACAAATATGTATATAGCTACGCACATTATTTTATGTTTATGTTTATTTAGCGTGTGCTTCTTTTTTTTCTAAGCAGAACAGCATTTGGTTGAATAAAGACTCTGGGGACATTTGCTTTTCCTCTCTCTTTGGCTCCAGCACGGTCTTAAACACTCAGGGGCAGTGGACAGAGCTGAGGACAGCTGGCCCCAGGCCTAGCCCTAAAGTCCCGGTCTTTGTATCTTTCATGCTGGCCTTGGGCTTGGTGCAGCCCCTGTGGGAGACTGAACAGTTTCTTTCCCTGAAGCCCCTGTGAGGCAGCCCCGTGGGCAGGGCCTTTGGTTCCTCCCAGGTCCTCAGCCCCATGGCTCAGGACAACAAGTGCTTTCTCCACATCCCAGGGCCAGTGCCCGGAAGCTCTTGGGCAGCACAAGGCTGACCTTAGTTCTGGATTGAGGACCTTATTCCAGATCTCTTACCCATTTATTACAGTACCTGGAAGTCTGTTCTGGTTTTAAACTCACAGTCCACATTTTCACAACTAATGACACTAACATTGTCATCTGGAAAATTAGAAACTTGACTTCATTATCATCTTCAGAGTCTGGCTTATTCCAATCCCACCAGGTATAAAGTCTCTTTGTATCTCCCCTCTCCATCCAATGAAACTTAGAAATACGGTGAGATTGAAGATATGGTAAAGCTCTTGGCACTTACACCCCAGTCACTCCCCGCTCCCTTGGTGCATAGGCACCTGCTCTGTCCTGCTGCATGTGGGGAGGACAGTGAGCCTCTCCCAGCTCAGGACAGGAGCAGGAATTTGGGGCATATGGGATCAGCCTCACAGTGAGATGTCAGGGGGTGAAGTGTGGGCAGTCTGGAAGGATTTTGAAAAAGAGGGAAGGTGAAGAGCTTTGCCCTGCATTTTTTTCTGGAATAGTTATGAGAGGACATGATGCTTAGAGCCACTGCAGCCCTCTTGAGACATGAGGCATCGAGCCCAAGACTGAAAAGTCGAAGTGGTGCAGATGCAAATCAGAAATCTAGAAACAACCTGGGGCCTTTCTGCTGTCACCAAGCTGCGGCATGAACTGTAAATACTGCAAACTTCAAACTTTTTTTTTTATTTTATTTTTTATTAAATCACTGCCAACATTTCTTTTAACTGCTTTTAAAATTATTGTAACTTACCCAGAAAAGATGCTTAAAAGAAAGAGCCTGGCTGGGCCATAGACCTGCTCTTTAGGAGGAGAAATGTATTGTCATATGTGTGTGTGTTTGTGGGAGTCTGAGGCGTGAGGGGCTGGAACCATAATTAGTGATGTCCTCCTCTGGCATCTTGGTGCTGCAGCGTCCATGGCTAGAGAAACCCAACCCACTTCAAAGAGCTTAAGAATTTCACCCTCTTCCTGTCTCCATTTCTCTTTTTATATTCTAAGCATAAATTCTCTTGATTCTCCTTAATTCCTCCATCCTTTAATAAGTCACAAAAAAAGAATTATGCTTAAGAAGCAACAAGAGAAGTTAAAAAAAAACCATAAAATTTGGGAGTTATAGCTCCTCAACAACAAAATTGTGTTGAAGTTCCCCTCCTCCTCTGTGTTTTGCTTTACTTTGTTTTTGCTTATTCGTCCAAGAAAAATCAAGGGTTTTTGATGGGAAGATGCTGGCTGCTCCAGCCAGATTTCTGTCAGAGGTTGCATTTGGAGGGTTTACAGAGAAAAGCTTCCAGGCAGTTAGTGCTGGATTCTAGGAAGGGTAGCACGAGGGTGGGTCTGGTTTCCCAGCATGGAGGAGGCCAGAGTGAGTCCTGGGAAAGGCTGTGAGTGTGGGAAGAAGGGACTTGGAACTGAGACCTGTAGCCACAGCCTCAGGAACCTGCAAGTGAGAACCATTCATCAAAGAACCAAGGGTCCTGAGATGGATTCTCAGCCAGGAAGCCCCATCTCAGAAATGGCCACCACCATCTGTGTGACACAAGTTGAGATTCATCTTCAATGGTGGCTCCACAACCCTAAAAGCAATGTCCATCAGGTCCTGGGTGGAGGATGCATGGGCTAGTCTGGATGAAGGAAGTTTCATCCCACGATGTGTGAGAGGAGCCTTGAAAGTGAGACACCAGAGTTCTCGATCTGAAGGGAAAAAAATATTATCAATGAAGTTTATGTGGATTGTGCTAACATCCCTCCTAACCTCAAGAGTTCCTTCACTTCCTGAGTCAATCTCCTCTGCAGTGTTGAACTAATACCTTGTCCAGTTCTAGGCTGGCCATGAAGGTCAGTGTCACAAGAGATGTATTTCTTCTTGCCTTTCCCTCCAGGTAGGGACATCATTTTCTTTTTATTCATTGTCAAAAAATAGAAAAGTTGTCTTCTTAATATTACTGATTTCATCAAAAGGGTACTGGGTCCACTCTCAGGTCAAAACCCTACAACCACATTGGCTGAGTGAGTCCTTGCTTTGGTACCTCTTTTTTGCATGTGCCCGCCTTATTCCTCTTCCCAGTTCAAGTCCCTATAAAGTTCGATGCCTCATGCACTATTCAGGTTCTGAGCACTGCCCGCCAGCATGTTCTTTGGAGCTCAGGTACAGCTCCTCTGGAGCCTTGCTTTCTGGAAGGCAGGTAAGGCCAGGGCCAGGTCAATGAACCATTTCTCGTAAGTGAGGGCAACTGCTGCCTGGTGCATGTTCCTGCTGTACACCATCAATATCACTTTCTTCTTTTACTCTTTGGCAGTAAATGGAGACATCATCCTCACCCAGACGCCAGCATCCCTGTCTGCACCTCAGGGAGAGACCGTCTCCATCTCCTGCCAAGCCAGTGAAGACGTACATGGTGAAATATCTTGGATTCGAATAAAACTTGGACAAAGATTTGAGCCCCTTATATCTCATGTCACTACCTTGGCCCCAGGTGTCCCAGCTCGATACAGTGGCAGGGGAAGTGGAACCAGCTATGTCTTCAGCATCAGTGCTCTGCAGCCGGGGGACTCTGGGGAGTATTACTGTATGCATGACTACGGGTGGCCAACCCACAGTGGTGCACCCTGTGCACAAAACTCCTGCTGCCTGTCATAGGGCTTGATTTTCCAGGGCATCTGCTTGTACCTGACCAGCCAGGATCCTATTCCAGAGAGATGTGGGCCCTCCAGATTTAACATACTCACCTTTTCTATGTGGATGTAGCAGCCCTTGTCTTTACCCTTGGCCTTTCCCGTTCACTGCACTTCTGCTGACTCCTGAAGGCCATATTTACCCCTTGCTGCTCTTTCTGAAGCTGGGAAGGCAGTTCTGCCTGCACACATGGCAGACATCAGGGCCTGGAATAAGCATCCCATCCGATAGCCCTCAATCAGTGGTGACAAGGGAGGTGTTTACATAGGCCAGCTCCCTCACCTCTCAGGTGCGACAGCCCAGAGGCATTTTCCCATGTTTCCACGTGGGCTTGAGCGTCAGTTGTCCTTATAAGCAGCTGCTTGCTGATGTGCCTTTCACTGTTCATTTCCTTTTCCCTGTCTCACTTTCCTCCTTCTCTCTCAGGGGTTTCTGCAGCTTGTAAATATGGTGCTTGCATAAAAATCCTCATTATTACAAACCCAGCCTAAGACTACAGGCAAATCCAAATCCTCATTTGTGGTGGTATGTTTCCTCTAAATTCTTGCCAATTCTCCTCTTATGATGGGTACAGAAATTCAAAAGTTAAGAAACCATTTACTTTTCCTTTACCAGTCTCTCACAGATTGCAATTAAGTAGTGATTCCTTTCTTCTGGGTCGCAAAGTTAGAGGAGTCTCTAACAAAGAGCTCCACACTCTGATGTCCACATTAGAGCAGCAGTAGCAGAGAATCCTCCATCCCAGGAAACCCCCAGACCAGAGGACCCCGAATCAGATCCTTCCAGCTGTCTTGTTTTATAAAGCTGCTGGCTGCTCCCTGTCCTTTCCTTCTCCCAGCCATGTGACTTCGGATTCTTCTTCCTTAGGGGAGGACAGTTGGGGATCCTAAGGGAGTTTGGTAGGTCAAGTAATGCATCCTCTCCTACCACCCAGAAGATGTTTATGCCCTAATCTCTGTAACCCATGAATGTGAAATTATATGGCAAAAGGAAATTGGAAAATGTGATGAAGACTCTTGAGATGGGAAGACTATCTTGGACTATAGTGTGGGCCCCATGTAATCATAACTGTCCTTATAAGAGGGAAACAGAAGGGTCAGATTTGGGGAGGAGATGTGACTATGAAGGGAGAGGCTGAGTGATGTGAGGGACAGGCCATGGCCAAGGAGAGACAGCAGCATCTAAAAGATGGAGAAGGCAAGAAAACAAGCTCTTCCCACTGGTGTCCACAGGGAAGCTTATTTTAGCCCAGTGAGACCTGTGTGAGATTTCTCCCTTCCAGAATGGTAAGGGAATAAATTGATGCTGTTTGAAGCCAGTAAGGATGGGGTGATTTATTACAGCAGCTACAGGAAACTCATACACAGGGAGAGAATGGCATTTTCCTCTCTGAAGGGGATAGTTTCTCTCTGATCTCCCAACCCATTCCAACTTGTCAGCATTTGGTGTCAATTTTGACAAAAGATGGAGACTTCAGGGCCTGGAATAAGCATCCCATCGGATAGCCCTCGATCAGTGGTGACACGGGAGGTGTTTATATACCCCAGCTCCCCAGCTCTCATGAGGAGAGCTAGCACCAGAATTCCTCTTAGGGAGGAAATCTTCTGGGTAAACCCCTTAATTAACTTTTGTACATTCTGGGTATCTGAGAGCTGGGGGGTTAGACCCCTCTGCACCCAAGAGGAGGTTAGGGTTGCCTAATAAGAGGACAAATTAGATTTGCAGGACACAATCTGAGTGGGAGGGACAGGGCCAGAGATGGAAATGCATAGAAGAGAGGAGGAAGGGGTTATGGCAAGGCAAGATGTGCTCCTTCCCCCAAGTCTGAAATAAAGATGTTCAGAGTTTGTAAAGGCTTAAAGAAAGTTGCATTTTGTAGAAGAAACTGTGGAAGGGGCTGAGTTTAATGTTAGGGTTCACATGGTATGGGGTAGAGGCAAAAGGGATCTCTGAATTTCACAGCATTATGGTTTTGTCTCTTCTCCCATTTTATAGGCAGTGGGATCATCTGTGGGCTGGACATGTCCACATGGAAAGAACAGACTTAATGTCAGACACACCTGAATCTAAATCCCAGTCCCAGCACTTGCTGACCACGTGACTTTGGGAAAACCACCCCTGTCCTCTGATGAATGATCTTCTCATCTGTGAAAGGGAGCACTACAGATATCAAGAGATGTGCTGAGGGTTTATCCAGAGGATGTGCCATTAAATGTAACTTTTTTAAAATTTAAATTTAAATGTTATTTATTTATTTATTCTTTTTGAGATGGAGTCTTGCTCTGTCACCAGGCTGGAGTACAGTGGCGCAATCTCGGCTCACTGCAACCTCTGCCTCCCGGATTCAAGTTATTCTCCTGCCTCTGCCTCCCGAGTAGCTGGGACTACAGACACGTACCACCATGCCCAGCTTAATTTTGTATTTTTAGTAGAGACAGGGTTTTATCATGTTGGCCAGGATGGTCTCCATCTGTTGTCCTTGAAGATCTGCCTGCCTCGGCTTCCCAAAGTGCTGGGATTTCAGGTGTGAGCTACTACGCCTGGCCAACATTTCTTTTTTTTTTTTTTCAAAGAATACTCAGTGCCCTGTTTTATGTACCTCTGAATCTCATAGAATGAAGAAGCTGTGTAAGATATTACTCACCAGGTGTCATTTTCAACTAAAGGTCATCCTTATTCATTACACAGAAGTTCCTCACTAGGGGCTACAGGTTTCAAGTGCATTTCTTTCCACCATAAACTCCTCCACCAATCCATTTATGTGTAGCTTTCAAAAGTTGAACAAGGAATTGCAAATAACCATTGCATCTTTAGTCTGGGCTTTCCTTGAGTACTTTTTGTGTATGTTTTAGAGCTGCTGTAACAAATTCCCAAAAATTTGGTGGCTTAAGACAACAGAAATGCGTAGTTCTGGAGGCCTGAAGTTTAGAGTCAGTTTCTCTGGGTCAAGATCATGGTGTTGGCAGCCAGCCTTCTCCAGAGGCTCTAGGGTGTTAGGCGCGTCACTTACATAAAGAGACTACCAGGCAGGCTTCGTGTGGGCAACAAGGCCGTTTTATTTCACACTTGGGTATAAGTGGGCCAAGTCCAAAAGAGGAGTTAGGCAAGGGGAGTAGGAAAGGGGACTGGTTCTATGGGGGGAGGGCGTTGGGGCAAACGGTTACTTAAAGGTGGTAATCTATTTTAGGGCGAGGAAGAGCATCATGGGATGCATGGTCATAAGGGTAGGGGTCATCTTTTACAAACAGGCATGATCATAAGGGTGGGGGTATTGGTTGCAAACAAAGGGGAGAGTGCTGTAAATTACACAGTTACAGGGGTGAGGGTCTTAAGAAACCTAAAGTCTGGGGGGGAAATTTTCGCAAGGCTGAACAACGGTTGAAGGTTGCAGGATGAGAGCAATCAGGTAAGGCAGGAACTAGTTGTTTGACGTCTCTTTGTGGCCATTCCATTACTTCAGACTTTCTGGCCCTGGAGACCATCCAGGAGTGTACGTGTGAGTCACCAAGGCTATAATGGCCAGGCTTGGACTCAGAGGCCTGACATTCCATCTTCTTATATATGTATAAAGAAAAAGAAAAAGGCAACGTTTCTTAAAGGCTTCTTCAAGTGTGACAGGGCCTGCGTGGACACCTAAAAGTGGGATTTTTGTAGTTTTGTTAAGTGTTTAAGTCTTTGGCTTAGGGTGCCTTTTCATGTATTTAGCAAGGTGCCGGTTAGCATATTTTTGAGCTTGAAATTGTCCTAATAGGATGAATTCTCTAAAAATAGCATTTAAGCATAATAGCTTTAAGGTGAGTGCTGATGAAGCCTTGGGTCAAGGTTGTGGGGGGGGTGGTCCCAGAAGACTCAGATTGAAAGGGATATGTGTGGGTTCTGGAGAGGTGTCACACTGCATCTTGACATTAGCCTGGTGTTGCCTGGAGTCCATGGGCGATGGATTGGTGTTTCTGGTTGATTCTAGAAGGGTGAAGGCTATGAAAAGGACTGGGGATAAGACAGGCAAATGAATGGGGAGGGTCAGAAAGGCATCTTGTCTTAAGCAGCTGAGAGTTCCCTGGGACAGGGAGTGATATTGTGGAGTTGTTAAAAGTAGTTGCCACATAGAGTGATTAGTGATGGCCTGGATACAGTTTTGAAGGAATTGAGAGACTAACTGGAAAATCAAGGTCCTAATAAGAGAAGAAGGAAGATGGGTATTAGGGGAGTAAGGACTGGAAAAAGCCATGACATCCAGCTAGAAAACGGCCAAGTGGATGTGGCATAGTTATTTACCTGGTCAGCAAATTTTGCGGCCCTGTCTTTGAGTCTTTTGATATTATCATAAGCTAAGCCGGACTGATTTAAGTAAAAGCAGCATTCCTTATTTGGAAATATACAGAATCCTCCCTTTTCTGCAGTGAGGAAGTCGAGGCCACAATGGTTCTGAAGGACAACTGTGGCTAAAGAGTCGATTTGAGCTTGAAGGTCGGGCAAGGTATCATATATGTCTGTAATGCTAGCAGATAAATTAGTAGACAGGCTGTAAAACATTGTGACAGAAGTGGTGACCCCCACTATGCCAGTTCCAAGGCCTACACTGGAGGCTGCGAGCCCTAATCCCACAAGTAATGGAATCAGCTGGATGACTCTTTTTTGTCCAGTAGGTGTCGTTAGGGGAACAGGCAGGTTGTTCATTACCACTGGCAAGTTGGATTCTAGGAATAAGGAAGACTAAGGCACAGGTAGCTGTCCAGTTAGTAGGTAAACACATACAGGCGGAGGAGCCACATAAAACAAAAGACCGGGGGCAAGGCAAAACTGAAAACGTAGGGTGAAAGAATTGGAGTGCCCCTTGCCACGTAGGGTCATTTATTGGCTCAAGGAAGGAGTCAAGGGTAGAAGTTCATGGGTAGAACCATGAGACGTTAGCTAAAATGGTCTGGAGAAAAACTGAACCAGCAAGGCAAGCAGGCATAAGGCAT